TTATTTCCTAAGACAGCTACACATCCTTACAGGCCCATAGCATTGAGTCGTGTTCTCACAGTGGGAAGATGAACAGATACACCAGTGGATTTTTTCCAATTAGAAAAAACGAGTGGAGCTTCATTTGTTAAACGGTTCATAAACGGAATGCGCTGAAACCATAAAAAACTAATATTTTTCAAATTTTAAAGCAAAAACCAAAATGTGTTAGGTCATGCTTCACTCTCCACAAACTGCCAGGTAATCTAAATAGAGCTGTTGAATGAGGACTGACATCTTCAGAGCTCTGGAAGAAACAAACAAGAACACCATTTGTAGAAAAATGTATCCATTCATGCTACCAGTGATGAAAATATGTTACTAATGGCATTAAACAAAGGTGTACCCTTTGGCTGGACACCCAATTCTAGCTAATTTCTTTAATTTTTGGTTGTGAAGATGTAACTAAAGTCATTCAGAGTGGTTTGATGTTAAATGTTTGATTGTAGAGGAACATACTGACTTGGATGTCTCTACAGTGGTGGTGTTTGGGAACCAGGGACTTCCGGAAGGCCTACAGTGATAGTTTTTCTCATAAAATTGCTCCCACCCATTGGAAATCAAACCAGTTGATTCCTCTGTTAATTCGTAATCATGCTGATAGTTAATCTAAGGTGTTAGGACTTTAGTTAGTTTCTGCATTTCAAATTCTAACCAATAGGAGAGCTTGCTAAGCTATATCTACCTAAATACCATAGAGAAAAACAATTTCTGCCAATTTTCTCTTGGGCATTTCAAGGACTTACCCCTTTTGTTCCCTTTCAAAACTTTACAATGGAAGAGAAAAGTGCAGAGTTTAATGCAAGCCTGGTTCTATTGAATGAATATAAACTAAAAATTACAGACATTCATTTTTTCAGTCTAGAGAAATCTTTAGGGCTTTTTTGAAGGCCTAGAAGGTTTTGAGGATTTCCCACTGTTGTAGGATTACTACAAAATATTAATGACCCTGGGTTATTATATTATTTTTTTTAAAATCATTTTACACCATCGAAATTTCTACATTTTATAAATGTGTATTTTTCGATATCGGCAGATTTGTACATGAAAAATATCGGATATCAGCACTGACCAACGCTGGTGCATTCCTATTCATTGTATCTTGAACTAACACTATTCAATTACCAACCAAGGAATCCTCAGTACACCCGTCTCACCAACAGCAATGCTGTGCTTGAAAGGCCCGAACACAGGCTAATATGAGCAAGCATGGTGAGAATTGTCTTCTCCTCTTTCTGTACCAAATGCATTGAGCTCTAACTTCTCCATGGCCATGAGGATGAAACCATCGCTAAGGACACGGCCCTGCGGTGAAGTCAGCAGTAGTTTATTTGCAGCTCAGTCTCTGAGCCTCAGGCATCGAAACAAGGCCAAAACCAACAAAGGCTGAGCTGCCGATGGCTTGTTAGGGTTGGCAGTTGTCACCACATCGACTTGCTGTCCGTCTCTCTCTGTCTCTCACTCTCTCTGTCTCTCGGCCCATGCCTGCGGATACCGGCTCAGTTTTTATAGCTGTTTGTAATGTCGTGCTGTACTGTACCTCCTTTCACTGTGAAAAGCCAATCACAGTTTTACAGGGTTGTTTTGTATGAGGTTTGTTTTGAAGCATTCTTTGTTGATCTGTGAACAGTTTTGAACAAATGCAGTTCATGGCACATGACTTCACATGTGGGAGGCGTTCCTTGGAATTCCATGCAATTGTCTAAGGAATGGTAGAAATCCATTAGTTCATAACTGGTAGCCTGGAAATGTATAGTTGCCTGCAAAATTTTGAAAAAAAAAAAACTGCTGGTGATTTTCTAAGTGAAAACTAGTTGAAGTGAAATATGACATTTTTCTAGGAATTTTAATTTATAATTTCATTTATTTACTGAGTTTTGGGGAAAGAAAATGTGCCACAATTTTGGCACGTCACATGTTCATGCCCCCTCTCCCACCAATATGATCAGTTCAGCAAATAAACAGTTATGTATTAAAATGTGCAAAAGTGTGTTCTTGGTAAAAGACTTTCATTTAGAGTATCAACAAAACATGTAATATGACTGGGGCACCCAAACCATTGCACACGAAAGTATATGTAATGTATGAATGCTGAAATTTTGTATCTGTATTCAGTCCATGTAACAATTGTAGAAGGTAATATTAAGATATTTGTTATTAAGTGTTACTAAGCTCTGTTAAAGCCTGAGTAGACTGATAAATCAATGTAATGATCAGTTATTAATCTCAGTGTTACTGAGCTCTGCTAAAGCCTGAGTAGACTGATGAATCAATGTGATGATCAGTTATTAATCTCAGTGTTACTGAGCTCTGCTAAAGCCTGAGTAGACTGATAAATCAATGTAATGTGTTATTTATCCCATTAAGGTTTTCCTCATGTGTCAATACATTCTAAATGCAATACTTTTTATGTATGATAATAGAATACATTACTGAATACATACTGTGTATCCAGTATTTAGCCAACGCTACTGCTATACAGTCATATAAATGTTTGAGCAGTCTTGTTCTTGGTCTTCTTTACTTCTACAAGCGAACACGCTGTTAAGATTTCTGTGGATCACCTGTGGACAAAACAGTTCATTTTTCCTGAATGATTTTTGTGACATTTATTTATTACTTCTTTCCCATTTTCCTGTCTTTGTACCTTTAAATGACCTTACTTGCCTTTACTTGCCTCAGGCCTGCTTTTACCCTGCCCTTTTTACCTTTAGCCTCTCCACTCCCACCCCCACTCCCAATGAGAAGCACGTATGCATGCACACGTAGAAACAACACGTAGAACAAGTGCACACATATGTAGATGCATGCACACAGGCACATTTTAAGGCTTTATTTCAATCAGCACAAAGTATCTCGACCCAATGTTCTGTTGTAGCTTATAGAAGTGTAACCATTAATTATAGCTGCCTGAAAGCATGTCCAGTATGTTTGCACAAGGTGTAGTAGTGCACTGTACCTGCCTTACTGTTAGCTTGCAGTGTTTACTTTAGCAATCATCCATGAGTGCCATCAGCCCACACAAATGCACCTTACACACTTCAAACCTGTTAGATGGGCTCACTGCGCAGCTTTCAGGTTTAATACAGGTCAGAGTAGAGGAAGCGTAAGGCAAGATAAAAATGGCTCAACATTGTGTTCTGTTTATTTGTTAATTGAACAGGTTGTGCTGCATTTGTAGCACAAAGTGAATGATTTATAAGTGTCAGTGCACAAAGGATTATTCATAAACTTCAAGTTTCTGCAGGCTTGTCTTGACAAACAAAACCATCCCAGTGCTCAATTATTTTATGAATGAAATGTCTGTTCAGAAAACCTGCACTTGTGCCATTCCAGTCCTGCTCACCTAGGATCTAGACCTGATCATATCACGGAAGAGTGTCATGCAAAACACTTCATTCATGTAATCGTGCAAAATTTCAAAGCTGTGCTCAGGTTAGTTTTTCAGTTGTGAATTTTGTTGTACATTTGTTGTACATACAGTTGTACATTTTTCTAAATTGAATTAAATCAATTGTTTCATGTTGGAAAAAGTGATTTTTTTTTTGTCATTCCACAGCAACTCATTAAAATCTGTCCAGTCATTTCATGGATTTCTGTGAAAAATTCAAGCAAAAACCTTCACTTAATTCATGCAACTGTTATAAATTTCAAAGCTGTTTGAAGTTAGTTTTTTAGATATTCATTTTTTAAGTTTGCCTTATTAGACTCTCAACTGCAGTAAATCAACTGGTTTTGGGTTGGAAAAATCTTTATTTGGGTTAATCCAGTCCAACTCACCTACAACCTGTTTAGACCACCAGGTTCTAAAGTGCATTAAATTAACTATCTCATGTTGGAAAACGTGCATTTTGATCATTCTGCAGGATCTATTAACTCATATTTTGGATTTCTGTGAAAAAAATCAATCAAAACTTCAATTTTATTCATACGACTATGCAAAATGACAAAGATGTGATTTTTTTAGATGAATTCTCAAAATTTACCCCATCAGGTTTTTAGTGGCTGAACTGATTTCAGGAAAAAGTGCATTTGGGTCATTCCATGTGAACTCACCAAGGACTCGTTCCATAACATCAGGATTTCCATGAAAAAATAACAAAAAAATAAAATAAAATAAAATAAAATAAATTCAAAGCTGTGCTCAGCTCAAAGTTTTGCCCATCAGGTTATAAATTGGATTAAATTAATTGGTTCCATTTTGGAAAACATGCCATTCCACAGCAACTCAGCTAGATCTATCCAGTCATGTCATTTCCACACACAAAAAAAATCATTCAACAACCTTAATTTCATTTATACTATCACACAAAATTTTAAAGTTGTGCTCCAATTAGCTTTTTAGTTATGAATTTGTGTAGTTATGAAGTGTACCCCATTAGACTAAATTGCATTAAATCAACTGTTTTTATTAAAATACACTACCTAATAAATTAACTTCTTCTGGGCATCTATTAGCACAAAGCAATTAGATTTAAAGTGAAATATTATTTTTAGTGGTGTATTTATATCAAGCTAATATTTCAGCTCAACTCAATATTTAAGATACTGTTTAGAACCTGATGGGCCAAATTTTAAAAATTCATAACTAAGAAACTTATTGCAGCACCGCTTTGAAATGAGTTGTACCAATTAAACTGAAGTTTTTGCTTGAGTTTTATTAGGAAATCCCTGATGTGACTGGACAGGCCTGCGGTGATTTGGCATGAATTGACCGATTTGGCTTTCTTAGCATGAACCTGCTGACGCCAAGTGAAACACAAGGTCCTCCTCACATATGGACCAAAGAGTTAAGCTAGCGTGAGATTCTCTGACAGTGGAAGTTTTGCCTAAAGCTTCATGTCTCGAACAAGACACCTTCCGTCGTCTCAACACCACATTTGTCTTGTCACCTCAAGCTGAAGAAGTCAAATGAAATTCCATCAGAGGTGACACCTACCTGTGAATGACCCCAACCAACGTAGTTGAATGTCTTCTTTATTAAATGCATTAAATATGCAAAAACACACACTCAAGGTGGAAATGACAAAAACTTTGGTTAGAAGGGAAAAGATTTAGCAAACATAGTCCACTTTTCCAAAACGAAAAAATAATAAAAATACATCCGTCGCTCTCCCAGAAATACTTAGTATGTGCAGCAGGCTTTGTATCAATCAATATTTTATATCAATCAGTTTCCATATATGTATATTTATGTACATTTTTTTCAAACAAATTGTAAGGAAACAAAAAAACAACAGCTTTACAAACAGCTTTTGGCAAAGGCAGAAATGAGTAGAAAGATGGACACTGTGTGGCATGCAGACTGGAAAGAGCTGCAACGGCGTTAGGTTTGTAGACTGTCAGTCAGCGGGTTGGAGGCGTGTGCTGCTCTGCCTCAGGCTCCAGCGTCTCCCATAGATTTTAGTGTTTGTCAGTTTCTTACTTTTGCCTGACATCCACAGTGATTTATACATCTCCTCATGTCTCCAACAGGTTTAAAGGCTTTTTTAAGCAGTTAAAGAAATATCCCAATGCTTAAAAATAGAGTTCAAAAGACATACATTACTGTGCAAAAGCCAGAGACCACCATGCATTTGTTTAATATTCAAAATGAAGTTTTAAACAGTATTAAAATTATAGAGTAAATGAGACTCCCAACAACCACACAAGACCTGGTAGACCCCTAGTTTTGAGCTTTCATCTCTGAGAGGGAAGAGAAAATCAAGCTCTATTATTGTTTCAGATCTGGAAAATTCCCCAGGTATTTCTATCCATCCTTCTACTGTGAGAAGACAACTCAATACTTTGGGCATGAAAGGATAGGAGGAAAGGAAATAGACTAAAAAGAAGCTGCTGGAGTCCTCAGAACAACGGACTGGCCAATCCAGTGCCCAGACCTCTGGCACAACTTGGATCATGAGAAGAAGAAAATGTAACCAACTTCTAAGACCGAACTTTGTAGGTGTGGAAAAATATCCCTGCAGATTTCTTTGGAAAAACTTTGGAATATCCAAAGCTGTTCTACAAGCAAAGCGTGGACACACAAAATACTAAAAAATCTATATTTATCTGTTGACACTTCTGTTAAATAATTGTTTTCTGCTTCTTTTCCTGGTGCTGCAAAATGAATAACTTGTACTCAGGGTGGTCTTTGCACAGTACTGCATTCTAAAGTGCAAAAATGACCTCCAGTAAGCTTCATGCAAAGTTCTATCAGAGAGAGAAGCTGTTTTGAAAGTCTCTAATACATGACTATTGTAGCTACACAATAATCTCCAACAGTTGTGCTGTTATGTTAGACGCAAGACCTCATAAAGAACAGGTAATGGTCTTAGAAGATTTGACTGCTCCACACTGAATCTTGCAGGTAGTGATGCATTTTATGCTTGCAATTATGCAAAACTAGATTGAACTTAAACCTAAATGCAGTTCTATGAACCATTGAAGTCTATGGGATGTCATTTTTGCCTTGTATCTTACAAGTAAATAGAATTGCGACATACCGTTGCTGACAGAACAAAACCTGACATCTCCAAAAACGGGACTTTACAGAACATGATGTTACTTGAGATTGTGGACTATTTCTATTGGCCTATTCATCACGACATTTTTGACAAGACATAAACCGGCTTTTTCAAATCATGTCAAAAATAGTTATACAAGATTTTGTCTCAATAGTGCTGATTTGACTGTAGACCGAAATCAGCCAAGCCACACAACAAAGAAAGGAAAGGATCGAGCTCAACACTTTCATAAGCCTCATGGAATATGAACACTTCAGTTTCATATATTCTGCATGAAGTGATGTCAAGTCTGCACAAGTAATAAATACAGTTCCAAATATTCATATATAAAGACTGGGAAGGTGGTCATGCACACAAAAGTAAGTAAAGCAACTCAATCTTATGAAAACAGAACAAGCATCTTAGTTTGACAATACAGAAAATGTTCTTTGGAAAGTTTAAAAATAGCACTTTTAATAGCAGTTAGTAAGAGTAATAACAAGTCTGTGCCCATCCTTGCCAAGCTTGCTTTAAAAAGCCATATTTCCTCATGTAGAAAAATAAAACACTGTACAAGTGTACACCTGTGTTCAGTACTTGACTCTTTTTTTGGCATTTAATGGGAAAAGCTTTTAAACATGAGACAAAAAGGCACTATTACCTCCGAGGGCATTTCAGCATTTCAGATATACGACCTTTGGCAGGGAACAAGACGCTGCAGTACGCAGACAGACCGTATTCAACACAGGCAATAAAACAGGCAGCAATTATGATGTAAGGGAGGAAATCGCTCGGGAAAATAAAAAATAAAAATAAGCGCTTACTGTTTGTCCATTTGGAACATGGAGTACTAGTGTTAGGATAATGTGCAACCGCCTCTGTGATGCAATTTTGTCGAAGTGCATTTGGCCGAAGCACAGCTGATCATAAAATACTGAACTCAGAAAGTCTCAGAATGGCAGCTGAACCACAGAAGCGATGTTGCAGAGTGACTCACAGCACCTCGGCCCATTCAGCTCAAAGCAGGCCTTGCCCGGTTCAGGTCTTTGGAGCTACGGTGATCAGAGGCACTAAGTGCTTTTGGTACGCTCTCAGTCTTTGCACTGTGGATGCTAACCATGTTTAGCTTGTTGTCATAGTCTCTGACGATAACTGGGTCGCCTTTTCCCGACCTGAGGCCTCCAGAGGCAGGGGGCGGAGGGATTCGCTCGTCACGCTGCTTGTGCTCAGGTCTTGGGGCTGCGCCTGGAAGGCTTCCCCCTGGGCTTGGAGCTGAGCCTGGGCTCGGGCTTGAGCTTCGGACCTCAGTCGTTCCTCCTCTGCCAGCTGAGCTAACCGCCGCTCCTCGGCCTCGATCTCCTCCGTGGTTGGGATGGAGTTTTTCTTGGGTCTGCCTTTGGGCTTGGTGGGGGCTTCATGTCCTCCTTTTAGCACCTGAATCAACACATATATCAGATATATATAAAACAATGTTTTGAGTAGAATTTTCGAATAGTCATAAAATAGCTTACACATAACATAAACTTCTATAGCCTAAAAATACTTTGGCCATTTGCATTGAAGTCCCTGTAGTTTCTGAATGATAAGCCTTAATATGCAATAAGCCGGGTTTTTTAAGGTTTTAATCAGTGTGTTTTTGCAGTGCTTCCCATGTACTATATTTGCACTTTTTGCTATCAGCTGCACTGCACTTGTCGTCCAATATGCAGTAGCCTTTAGACGGCTGCAGTAGTCTACTTCATTCATTGTATCAAGCATTTACTGTAATGTAATATGTAAGCTCTTCACTGTCCTCTGCTGGAGTTAGAACATCTCATAGTCCTTAAATATAAGAACCTGTAACATTGGCAGGAAGCTAATTTTTGGTAACATTTTACTTAAACCCTGCTACATAACCATGCTATAAACATATCATAGCAAATGTCATAAGATGGAATGACTTGTCATGACAGATTTTGTTCAGTAATATAACCTTTCATGTTACCATAACTGGTAATTGTCTTAATAGCTGCTGTAATGTTGGCTGACATAACTTATGACAGCACATGACATCTGCTATGGCATGTTTATGGCATGGTTATGTAGCAGGGTTTAAGTAAAATGTTACCAAAAATTTAGCTTCTCGCTAATGTTACACATTCTTATACTTCTTCTACTACTACACCAGAGGGCAGCAAAGAGCTTACATTTTACGTTAAAGCCACAGTATATCCTTGATACAATGTACGAAGCATAGAAAGACTACTGCAGCCGTCTAAAGGCTACTGCTTATTGGACATGGGTAGCACTGCAAAAACACACTAATTAACCCCTTAAAATCCCAGGCTTATTACATATTAAGGCTTATCATTCAGTAACTACAGGGACTTCAATGCGAATGTCCGAACTATTTCTAGGTTATAGAAGTTTAGATTAAAACTTTGGGCCTGCCAGTGGGCCCTGGCCATTTAAGGGGCTAACATCAAGCTTATTATTTTGATAGTGCAAAGTGAGAAGACAGTATTAGGCAGAATAGTTTGATTACCAAATTATTTGTTATGTAGTTCTGAGAGTGAGGAAAGGAAGTTTGAACCCACCCACAGGCCTATAGAGTTTAAGAGGTTAAATGGGGCCTTGATAAATGTAAGCCTGGGTCAAAGGCCAATGTGGTTATTACAGTGATTAAGGGAAGATGTGTGGCCCAGAGGGGCTGGGCTATTACGGCCATTAATCTCAGAGAAGAACACGTTGCAGAGCTTTTGTTCTTGGCCGAGGAAGTGGCCACACTGACGCAGACCTGCAGTGTCCCCTAAATCATCACTCATGTTACACTTTTAAGCACAGCGCCTCTAGGCTACAGCTAGCTTGACAATATATATGATAAATGGAGAGCATTCTGAGGAGAGCAGGTTAAAAACTGTTTAATGGATTTTTAATGATATGTTCCAGAATCTCTGCTGCCAAATAGCTACTGCAGCTTGGTGGTCCATTTTATTGCCAAGTCAAAGGTACGCAGCGTTAAGAAATGTGAACATAAGCCTCCAACCTGTCGGATCTATTTTGCAGAAAAGAAAAAAATGTAAAAGATTTAGTCAAAAATGAGCTTTTACAACAGTTATACTGCGTATTTTCTGTATATGCATTATTTGACAAAAGCTTGACTTTATTATCTTTTAATTATAATAGGTAATCCATAGATGAGGTGAAGCACAGCAGGTTAGTTTAGCCTTTTAACATCATCGTCACTCTCGCTTTTCTTAGCCTTTCACCAAAACTGATAAATAAAGAAGACCACCAGGTTATCAATCAAATAAAGTAATATTTTCAATCAAATAATTTTATAAAATAAAATAATAAAATGAGTATATCAAGTGATGAAAGTGATTCAGTGAATCAGTGCCTGCAAAGAAAGCAGGTTGTTTGAAGCAGGCTAACTGACATACATTAAGCTAACAGCTTAATATTATTGTTTATTCAACAATGTCCAAAAAATAACAGTAAAACAGTAACTTTACAGGAGAAGACAAGCATTTCCTTAACTTTTAACGTGAGGCAACGTAAAGAGGTGTTTTTCTAAGTAGTTCTGGAGTGTTTCTATTGGTTAATTCATCATAAAATTTTTTACGTAATTTTTAATGTACAAAACAGAGCCACTCTGTTCAAATGATTTATGAAAAATTTATATGGGACAATATCTAGGTTCATAAATACAACAACAGAAGTTTAAATTCTACTAAATTGTCCTCCGCTGCCTCCTAATGGAATGCAGTTCCATGGAATTTTCTCAGTTTTGGCTTTTGAGAGGTGGTAAACTTTAAAATACTCTTCAAAACTAATAGACATTAATATGCTTTATTGATCATACAAAGGGAATGTGTCATTTTGCTGCCTAACTATGGCTAGTCTAGAAGTAGCACAGTGTTGCCAGCAGAGCAGCACTGCTTGGGGCAGTGGGGGGTTGAGTGCTTTGTCCAGGAGCACAGCCAGGAATACCTAATCAGTCCTGGGATTTGAACCTGCGACCTTCCTGCTGCTCAAGAGAGTTCTTTAAGAAGCATAAAATGGCCAAAATAGTCCAAACTTCATCATGCGTAGGGTTTCTGCAGACCGTCATACAATTCTTAGTTCATTGTTAGATTTACCATTTTCTTCCACTTCATGCGTCTGTTCTGGTACCAGGTCTTAACCTGGAGCTGAGTGAGTCCCAGAGACTGAGCCAGGTCCAACCTGAAACATATAAAAACACACACGGAGAACATGTAAATCACCATAAATAATCAGTACAACACTACAGAAAATGACAGCGCTTGCAAGGCCTTGGAACAGTTATCGGAACTGGCTGCAAATGACCAACTGAACTGGCTGCAAATGACCAATTGAACTGGCTGCCAATGACCAAATGAAATTACAATTGTGAATGAATGTAAAATTAATTAGACCCAGACATGTCCTTTGTGCCGTCTGTCAAAATAAAGGTAGCTATGTTCAACTGGCAGCGAAGAGGATCCCAACGGCAATCCCGAAGTCACCTGTTGCACTACACATAAAAGCCAGTGGGTGGCCCTCCATGGTCCAGATGTCCATCTAATCACTGCATAATCAGCGAAGCTGGCGTGACATATCAAAGGGGGTTACATGACTCTGTCTTCCCAGACGGCCTGTAATCGCAGACCTCCCATCGAATCCTATCACCATTTATCTATACAGGAAAAGGTAATCCTATCGCGGCAGCTCCTAGCTCCCCTAGAGGCGGCCGAGGTTCTTCTGGCAACTTCAGCAAGCTTTCCGTGACTAATGCGGCGATTGGTTCGATGGTAACGCGATAGCCATGGCTAGCTGTGTGAATGAGGGCCGCGAATAGAAGGGGGCTGTATCAAACGGCCAGGCAATCAAACGACCGGACAGAGATTCCAGCCACGTCTGCCTTCAAAGTGGCTCCCAACAGCCTGAGAGGATTAGCCAGCCTTTCTCGGTCCATCAGAGAAGTGCTCGGCCATTTGAAGTGAGGCACAAAGATCTTCTGGAAATGAGCAGATTATCGCACTCTATCATGTGCTCTCTTTCTTTCTTTCTTTCTTTCTTTCTCTCTCTCTCTCTCATTTGCAGTTATCTGAGAAATTACATGAATCTCAATTTCTTTATGGTCATACAGTACTGTGCAAAAGTCAGAGACCACTCTTTCATGTGTCCAAAGGGCCATTCAGTACACGTTTTTCATCGGAAAACATAGCAGAAAACTACAGAAAATGACACAGAAGCCTTAACAACTCAATATATATTTTTTTCAGTATCCACCATTTGCCTATTTTACAGCCTTCTTTCTTTCCAAGAGACCTGCTTTCAGATTTTCAAAGAAATCTGCAAGGATATTTTTCCATGTTTCCAAAGTTCAGTCTTAGAAGTTGGTTGCATTGTATGCTTCTTAAGGTGAAGTAAGCTCGATTACAAATTTAGGGTCATCAGTCCATAAAACCGCACTCCACATTACAGATCTGTCTCCTTTTCTCAGTAAGAGCTTCTTGACAGCTACACATCCTTTCAGACCCATAGCGCTGAGTCGTCTTCTCACAGTGGAAGGATGGACAGAACCACCTGTGGATGTTTTCAGATCTGAAGCAGCTTGATTTTCTCCTCTCTCTCAAAGATGAAAGCTTTAAGTGGAAGTAGGGAGCACAAAAGTGAAGAATGGACAAATTAAATACTGATATATTTGATGCCATATTTAAAATAAATATTTATAATGTTTCTTGCTTTTTTCTGACCCTGAAAACTGAACATCTTGTTCTAAACAACTGTTTTGACTGGAACTCGGCTCAGATCCAATCTTTCTGGATGTGGTGGTTCATATTTGTAGGAGACCCATATCTGCCATTAGTGTGAACACCACTCTTCCATGAAAAGACCTGCATGCACACCTTTCAGCATTACAGAGACACTGGATGCTAGCCACAGAAAAAAAAAAAAATCTCAAATAACATGTTTCTGTTCACACAGCACTGAAAAAAATCAGATTTCTGTTAGGAAACAAACAGCACCACTTAATCTATGTAATGTTGAAGTGTCACTACGTGTCATTAAGTGGCTGAAAATGCAACAAAACGAAATCAAAGAAGCTGCTGGTGTTCTCAGAACAATGGACTGACCATCCCAGAGCCCAGAACTGATGACTTGGATCATCAGAAGCAGAAAATACAGCCAACTGTACTGAACTTTGGAGGTGTGGAAAAACATCCCTGCAGATTTCTTTGGAAAACTGAAAGCAAGTTTCCTGAAAACACTAGAAGCTGCAATAAACACAAAGAGTGGACACACTAAATGGTGAAAAAAAAATACATTTAGATGTTGAGGCTTTTGAAATACAAGGCATTCTGGGCGTGAATTTTATTATAATTTCATTCTTACTGCTCTAGAGCCTTTTCATTAGAGAATTACCTACAGCTCTGTTCATCACTCTGGATACAACTACAATTTACTAACTTAAAAAATAGTAACATCCAAGTATCTTTAACAACATCACTTTTATTGAATTATTATTGAAAACAGTGATACCACACTTTTAACGTCTCTCATGTCTGACTGTCAGTTTTCTGAAAGAAAGAGCCACAGATGGCGCTTTCCCCTTTACCTAGACTAATTGTGGAGTTATTTTGAAGTTATTTTGGATTTGGTGTTCATGATAATGACAATGATTATACGGCAATCATCTCTTCCTCGTAAAAACAATTATGACCAAATTATATAAATCATTGTGGTCTATATTGTGGCATGTTTTTCATTACTTTTATGGGGTTTTGATTGTCTGGCTGCTTGTGCAAACTCAGCTGTGGCCAAAAACAGCAGGAGAGAGAGGGAGGAAGGGAGAGAGAGAGAGGGAGAGAGAGAGAGATCAGATAGACCTGCGGCTACAGTGATCCCCTCATTCCTTGGCCCTATCTGTGGAGGGGGAATTCCCCCAGGTTGTGGTTTTCATTCCGCTGGGATTTTAATTCGTTCATTACTAAGACTAAGAGTAGCAGATATGAATATGTATCTGGTGTATGTGTTTGTTTAGCTCTTTGTGGGGACCAGATGTCCCCAAGATGATGGAAAATATGAAACTGATTAGCATAAATGCTTTTTTACAAAATAATTCAGGTTTTGGACAAAGTAAAAGAGCCATTTGGCTCATGAGCATAAGGTTAGGGTTGGATTAGGAGTAGCACAGCAACAGCTATAGCGGTAATACTTTATTTGAAACCTACCTACATAAGGACTTCATAACACATGCATAAGCATTGAATAATGTATTTAAAAAGCAATACTTTAGTATTTATGCCAGTAATTGCAAGATAATGTGTTTTACAAAGTAAATGACTTTGTATTGACATAAGGAGCCTTAAACTAAATTGATGGACCCTAGTTCTACTCATAACACTGTTGTGAAGCATCATTCCCATGTCATGGAACTTATAAGCAGTGGCCTAATTAAGAACACCAACTTATAGGCCTAGTTAAGAATATTACTCGGGTAAAAGTTCCCTGTCTATATTTGTACTCAAGTGCAAAAGTTTAATGTTCTCAAGAATCAAAAGTAAAAAAAAAGCACAGGTCTCCTTAATAGATGACTTTTAGGTTCCAGTACTTGGACATCATGCTTCATAACAGTGTTATAAATGCCCATCACTTTAGTTTAAGACGTCTTATGTCAATTACAATGTAATTTACTTCATGAAACATTTTATGTCATTTTGTGATTAAACTGTTTAAATAAATACTCCCACACTATTGCTTTATAAATGCATTATTTAATGCATACACATGTGTTATGAAGTCCCTATGAAGGTAGCCTTACCACTACAGTAATGTAGAAAGCACCGGAAACACCCCACCAGGACAGAAATCTGTACATATGTGCTGCAATCCAGGTTGGAGAGCAATGTTGGAGCCGCTAGTTTGCAGGTGAAGCTTTGTGGTGGGTGGCCCATCTGCAGCATGGAAGATTTACTCCTCAACGTGGATGATCAGTGACAGCTCCAGTGCTTTTTTCAGGCAAGAGCAATCTGACCCTAGGCTGAACAAGACTGAAAGTACAGCCAATTGTTTTCCATATCTGACACATTTCAAATCCTTGTAGGTGGCTTCTACAGCTCCAAATACAGTCTTGCTTTGGACCATAATGACAGTATGACCAGTACAGCCAACCCCCCGAAACATGAAGCCTTAAATCAAATGGAAAATGTGTCAAGGCCGAGAAAGAATGACCCACGAGAGGCGACCTAAGACACTTCGATTACCTCATCTCATTGTACAAAGCTCTAAAGCAGTTTTATATACACCTGCATGTGTATTAAATGATTGGCATGAAATCAGTGTAATACATTTCTGTTTGCTGTTGTTGGCGCATGTCCCTCTCCTCTTGAATGGGGGTAGTGTTTCTTTTAGAGGCTTTTTCTGCTATTCAAAAAGCGCGAGGTTAAAATGTTACTCTTGTCCTGACTAGAACATTGCGGTACGTCATTCGTTGGCTTGCGCCGATTAACTGGGCTTGAGACGTTCCCAAAAACATAAATCAAAATGTCACAATGATAATCAGTGCCATTCATTCACCAAACCCGCTTCTAAGGCTAAAAATCTAGTTCATGCTTACATTTACATGTCATTGAGGATTCTTGTTTTGCAAAAGATTCTCCGCATTACAGTATAATTCCATGTGACTGATAAATAAGGACAGATGGTGGATGAATACGGAGAATGTCAGGATACTTTGCCAACTTTTTGCACTAACGAAAGCAGGCAATTTGAACAGTGTGCGCTGCCAGTACAGTAGTGGTTTTCATAGTTATTTCTGTGTTGTTTTCTAAGCTCTAACCCCCCTGGGAACACAGTACGAAGTGTCTGCTAGTGCGACCACACCCTCAATTGGAGGCCAATTCAGTTTTGTCACATCCGTCTAAAATGTCTGTCATCGTTTGTAATTAGCTTCATCTCTGCCAAACCTTGCAGGAACCCTAACCTGTTGAAGTTGTAATCTTGCCATAACGTCAGGCTGAACTTCTTACCTGCCATGTTCTCATATCTAACATGTGTCTGACGCAATCAGTAGCCAAGCAGATCTTTGTAGACGTGTGCATGGGCGTGAAATTAAACCTGACTCACCCCTACAACTTTGAGGCCTGACCTGAACAGGCCCAACTGGTTTGAATCCTAAACCCGATCCGAATTCATAACTTTAGAACCCAACCTGAATGGGGCCGAAAAGTACTGCTAAACTTGAAACCTAAACTCTTGACTTTTTAGACCTGACCCGACCCAAGGAGGCCCAAATAACATACTACGTTTAAAAACCAAACCCGAGCCGAACCCAAGACTGTGAGACCCGACCCAAATAGGCCATGATTTGTTATGCTGTAAATTTTAAACCTGAACCTGAACCCGAACCTGCTTGCACGCACTAACAGAGACAGTCCTGTCCTTTGTTACGAAGTACATGATCGATGGAAAATGAACTATATTAAAAAAAAACTAAACATATTTATCTGAAAGTGATACAGAGTGATTCAGTGCTCAGACTGAACTGGAGTGAGAAAGTACTCTGACACTGACTTTTCTGGCTAGCTGCTGTGGAATGGCAGCATCAATGATACATTTGTTACTGAAGAGGTGATGTGCCAGTCCTTCTGCAATCATAGCTCAAAATACTACTGTCTGATGTAAGAACCGGACATAATGTTTCCACAATGAAGACATCCCTGACTCATTTGGAATTTTAAACAGTTCTCTTTTTAGCATGCTTTTTTTTATTTCCTGCATGGAGAATAGTTATTAAGACTGGCTTTATCAGCTCATAGTACACTATACTAGAAACAGAGAGACTGCAGTAGACAAAAGGCACATATTCCTTCAAATAAAAACAAGTTACTGCATAAAAACAGTGTGATGTTCTATGTGAAAAAAGAAAAAGGCCAAACAAATTTGACCCGAAATCTCCATTGGGATCAAATTGACCTATAGATCTTTGACAAATGTTTAACTATTAGTCACTGGCTCACTAGTCAAGTGCTTCTGTTTAATCATCGTTGTAAACTTGTGCTACTTGTATTATACTTACACCATGTAATTAAAAAGTCATAGATTTGGGCCAGTTGTCAAATGTAGCAGTACTAGTTGTGCCTGTTCGGGTTGGGCCTCAAAGTCTCATGTTTGGGTCAAGTTTGAGTTTAAACTTTAGTAGTACCAGTCAGGCCTGTTAGGGTCAGGTCTCAAAGCCATAGGTTCTGGTCAGGTGTCGAATTTAGTTTTACCAGTTGTGCCTTTTTGAGTTGGGCCTCAAAGTCTTGTGTTCGTGTTTCAAATTTAGCAGTACCAGTCGTGCCTTTTCAGGTCAGGTCTCAAAGTCACAGGTTTGGGTTGGGTGTCAAATTTAGCAGTACTAGTTGTACCTTTTTGGGCCAGGTCTCAAAATCTTGTGTTCAAGTCAGGTTTGGGTTGCAAGTTTAGCAGTACCAGTCGTGCCTTTTCAGCTTGGGTCTCAAAGTCACAGGTTCGGGTCGAGTGTTGAATTTAGCAAGATCAGTTGTACCTTTTTGGGCCAGGTCTCAAAATCTTGTGTCCAGGTCAGGTTTGGGTTTCAAGTTTTGCAGTACCAGTTGTGCCTTTTCAGGTCAGGTCTCAAAGTCACAGGTTTGGGTCAAGTGTCAAATTTAGCAAGATCAGTTGTACCTTTTTGGGCCAGGTCTCAAAATCTTGTGTCCAGGTCAGGTTTGGGTTTCAAGTTTTGCAGTACCAGTCGTGCCTTTTCAGGTCAGGTCTCAAAGTCACAGGTTTGGGTCAAGTGTCGAATTTAGCAGTACTAGTTATACCTTTTTGGGCCAGGTCTCAAAATCTTGTGCCCAGGTCAGGTTTGGGTTTCAAGTTTAGCAGTACTAGTCGTGCCTTTTCAGGTCGGGTCTCAAAGTCACAGGTTTGGGTCAAGTGTCAAATTTAGTAGTGACTGTATGGCAGGATTACAACTTCAGTAAACAGGTCTTGGTTCTCCAGTCCTGAAGCGCATTGCAAAATGGATGCAGTTGAATCACCACCTACAGATGATGGTATCATGATAAACAGATATGTTTTTACAACGCTATTGCATTATACTTGCATTATAATTAATTTTCATGCTTAAATATAAACCTCTTCCCAACATAATACTTATTTAAAGTTAGTTAAAGCAGTTACTGACCTGTCAGGGGTGGACAGATACTTCTGCTTCTGGAACTTCTTCTCCAGACCCATGAGCTGCAGCTCGGTGAAGATAGTGCGGCTGCGGCGAGGCTTCTTCAGCCGGGGGGCACTGTGCTCTGTGTCTGACTCGCTGCTGATGCTGACTGGTGTCTCGCTGGGCGGCAGCTCGCCGGGCCCTGCGTGTAGTGGCAGATGGGCACCCCGGCTGGGGGGTGATGGCTGGGACAGGTGGGGCAGCACGCTGGGGGGCTGCCGGGTGATGACAGAGAGCAGGGGGTATGCCCTGAGTGATGAAGGACCTAGGACAACATGTCATAAATAAGAAAACTGTTAGTGTTCTTTAAATCATGGCAGCATGCACAGAAGATCACATCAAAGAGTATCATATTGACCTCTGGTTGAGTGAATCTGGAAGTCAGAGTTGCTGTCCTTACATGTTGTGGATTCTAAAGAGGTAGTTTGGGAAAGTGGGTGATTCTGCAGCAGACTGGGGTTTGATTCTCCACCTTGGCAATCACACCATGCTACACCAATAGGAGTCCTTGGGCATGACCCCCAATGCTCCTAACATGATTAAACTGTAAGTCACTCCGAATAAGAGTGTCTGTTGTATAGCTTTTTTGGAAGCTATAAGGCTAATGTTACTAATAAGTAATGGATGCTTATACTGAATTTAACTTAGAAATGGAAAGCTAGATTTTATTTATGTCATTTTTGAGTTCTGTTTGAGCTACACAGTGGGAGAAAAGACCTCCGAAGACTGTTAACAACATGCTAGGCAGCTAAAGTCAGTGATACAGGGTGATTCAAAAAGATTCATCTGATTTCAAAATGATTTATTTCACTTGTAAATCATTACAGAACAATGCGGTAAACTGTAAATGGTTTAAATGAGCAGAAAGTTTATTATGTAATTTTACAAGTGCTCAATATGAACCTCCTCCAGCTGTACAGACAACATCAACACCATAGTTAAATTCATCCCATACTGGATTGAGCATGTCGGGTGTCGCTGCACTCACAGCTCTTTCAGTGCGATTTCAGAGATCATCCAGTGTTGTGGATCCAACGCCAAACACTCTGAGCTGTTCGAGGTTCACTATTAATGGAAATCATGTTGCACAGTTATGACGGATTCACTCTTATTGAAGTGGAGAATGCAAAAACGCTTTCTGCTCAGGGGTTGCATCTCCTCGCAGGCTGAAGGGAGCCATCTTCCAGTGACAGTCAGAAACTCTATGACCCCCTCTTTCAATTGGAGTGTGATTGGTTCCTAGGCACCTCACAGTTGGAAAAATATATGGCGCTTTGAAATCAGATTAATCTTTTTAAATCACCTGTATAAGTGATAATGCTCATGAAGCATTTACTAGGGATGCACTGATAATATCCAATATTTTTTTATGTACAATGCCAATTCTGATACATAAACATTTAAGTATTTGAATTAGCGTTGAAGAGAAATGTAAAATTGATTTGTAGAGGGTTACAAATGCAATAAAATTGAAAAGATATTTGGAATCATAGCCCAGCACTGCCTAAATATTCTGCTCTTCCAGAGTATAATATATACATAATCAAATGTTGGCTTGAAATATTAGTCAAATCTGACGTCAACACATTCTGAAATTATCATGCATCCCTAGCATTTACTTACTCAAACACAAGTTTATGATTTGTATTGTAGATTTAACCAACCTCTGTGTCTGTACGCTGAGATCAACAGCAATTAAAGCATTAAAGAGTAGAAACGTTACTTTATTTCTAGGTATTTGTTCCTATTGACGATGTAAACAGCCATCTTGATTAGCTGAACTCAGAGTTGAGAACACCTTCCCAACCTTCCAAGTAGGAGTTCCCAGTTGGGAGAGTGTTTTTGTTGAAGGTCAGAAATTGAGTTATGAGTTTTATTTGAATGCATCATTATACTCCACCACCATGCCCAAGTCATTCAGTGTCAGTTCCTAAATTTCATCCATGCTTTTATGAATGAAACCATAGAAGCAGAATATTAGAAAACTTTTTAATTAAGTATTTATTCATTTAGTTAAGCATTTAGTTTTTGTTGTTTTGCCAACCTTTTCTTTTAAAAGCTGTTTTGTGCACATGGTCCTCATTAAAGAGTAAAAATGGCCTTTGGTGACTCCAAAGTGCCACGACACAGCGATCCAGCAATGTGTTTAATCTACGGTCAGAAAAGTGACCCCAAATTGCGCTCCGAGACCCATTCGGCTACTTTCATCGTTCTGCTTGGTTTCTGGTTTTAGGAACCATTATGTCCAACCGTGCTAAATCCTCCTTAACAGCCTGTCCCCTTTCGCCTTAACGATAGAAGGGAAAGCTAACAGGCCTGACCTTCTTGATGTAGGTGACTGAACTGTGGGACTGCTATGGTGACGTAACCGGTGTTTTACACCGCCACCTTTGAACTGCTGGAAGATAATGATTCTCCCGTGATGCTCGCGTTCACACTCACAGTGCACTCTGGGTAATAAATTGGAGGGGGGACACGGTGTTTTCGGCCCTAAGAGTGGTCCTAAAACTTAAATCTCTCTCTCACTTTCCTTCTTTCTCTCTCAGACAGCATTAAGACGCCAGAGTCCATAAAATGCAGACTAGGACTCAACTGAGCTTAGTGGGACATAAAAATACAATTTTGATTCACTGAATCTTTGGGATTTATTAGCATTTAGAGAAGAGGAGAAAGAAAGACAGCAAGAAAACCAGAGATGCTATCACATTCACATGACTCACCGGTTAACTCGCTGTTTTTCTCATACTTTTATCATGTAGAGATTAGAGAAAAATATCAGTTTGATTTTTGGTCGGTTCAAGTTTTGCCCTTTTTTTAGGAGATATTTCTGAGGAGACTGGATATAAGATCCACTTCTATATAAGACATGAGGTACTCCACTTGTGTAAGGGAAGTCAAAGGACAATAAGTGAAAAAAAACATTTCCAAAACTGGGGTTCAAAAAATGATTAAAAGTTACAGAGAAAATGGGACTCATAACAACCCCCTGCAAGACCTCGTAGACCACCAAAACTGCCCCCCAAAACTGCCCCATCAGATAAATAGTATTTCAAGCTTTCATCTTTGAGAGAGTGGAGAAAATCAAGCTGCTTCAGATCTGAAAACATCCACAGGTGTTTCTGTCCATCCTTCCACCGTGAGAAGATGACTCAGCACTGTGGGTCTGAAAGGATGTGTAGCTGCCAAGAAGCCCAGAGTCCAGAGTCCAGACTTCAACATCATTTAATGTGTTTCAGATTACTTGGATTGCAAAAAGCAGAAAATGCAACCAAGGCTGAACTTCTAAGACTGAACTTTGGAGGTGTGGAAAACTATTCCTGCTATAAGAACGAATACAATTTGGGGAAATTTGGTAAATGAAGGGTGGTGTCTGGCTTTTGCAAATATACCAATACACGCTAACATTCAGACGTTTAGAATCACTATTTTCACTCATATAAAACCAATTTTGTTGCTGATGCATGCTCTAATACACGTATCAGGCTCGAGTCTTGGTGGGCCAAAACACTGCTGTGTTCATCTCACTGCATCATTAAACACACCTGATTCAGCTCATCAGCTAATCTGCAAGGCCTTCATGAACTGAATTCAGAGCGTTAGATGAAAGTAAACACTAATTTCTGCAGCACTTTGGCCCGGGAGGTCCCCTGTTTGACATGCCTGCTCTAATATGATGCCAGTCCCCTAGAACTTCAATTAATTAGAAGGAAGCTATAAAAACTGAAGACAATACAAGGGCGTTTTCACATTAGTGCATTATTCCGGACTCAGGACCGCTTGCTTTGTGAGTTCTGTAGGTTTGGTCAAGTGTAAAAGGCTGTTTTTGAGCCTGGGAGCCATCCTGAGAGACGACCTCTGGTCCACCTAATATAAGGGGTCTGTTTTCGCTTCCAGCAAACTCTGGTGCGGTCCACTCTGCATGTGGAAGGTATCCATACCAGGTGCCGCAAGTAGGCTTGCATGATTGGTTTATTTTGTAATGACTGTGTGTGACTGCTTGGACTTATTTTGTTACTTCACTTTTCAAAGTTTGTGATGGTGGGAAAAGGCTTGCTGTGGACAAAACACGCTGTTTTTTGTGCTTGCATGTTTGTAACCAAGGAAAATATTAAAAAGCAGCACATGGATGGAGGTAGTGTCTCCCATTTTGCAAACCAGCATGCAGAAAAGTGATGTATTGAATTGTGCAATCGATCCACAATTCAGACGTAATTCTCGTGTACGAAAGCAAACCAGCCATAATGAGCCCCTCCCCCAAACAAGCCCAGAATCTGTCCTGGGTGCAGACTTGAGCCTTCGGAACAAGTGTGAAAACACCCTTAGATGTGTCCAGAACGAATAGAGCTGCAGAGAATAAAATGACTGTTATAAAGCTTTGAGAAAAAAGTTATCACAAGATAAACATTCAGAATGCCTAATAAGTTAAAATGGTAGATAATTTGGGCAAAAGTATATAGACTGATCATCAGGGCACCGTCTAAAATTGGTTGAAATGTAACAAGAACTTTTTATGTAGTTAAACAGACTCAGGTAGAGCATGCCTTTAGGTCATAGGTATATTATGCTCACAAACAGATACACATGAGAACGATTACATCTTCGAAGAAATGAGCTCATTGCTAATGTTCCACGTCTTCTGCTGCCTGTTCAGGCATGAAACTCTCCCTTGCTGCTTCTTCTTTTTCTCCTATACAAACTCACAAAAGCGAGCTATTTGGTATGAATATTTTGCTACATATGCCCTATAATACCTACACTACCCCACCAACACACATGTGGTTTAGCGTCCAACCTTCTTACTCAGCTGTCTGTTACAGTTACTGTAAATCTGCACACATTGACTAGGGGTGCGGGAAAAAATCGTTTCTTAGATGCATCGTGATGCGGACGTGAACGATTCTGAATCGATTTACAAATGTCAAAAATCGATTTTCTAAATATTTCATTTATAACGTGATGTTGATGGAATGCAAAAGGCGGAACTTGGAAGTGCGGAAGTGCAGCGCCCGGACAGTCTGTTGGCGGCACATAACAAAAACACAAGTGGAAGAGCGAGAAATCCGACCGGCTCCCTCTGCATTAAAGGCAAGGTTAGATCAGGAGTCACAACACAAATGATAACATTTTGTTCTTTCAACAAAAATCAAACCATCTTGGGAGCCACAACAATTTAATGTCCAGTATGTTTCAGTATGTGTTGATGTCCTAGTATAGGCTAAACAATATAAACGAAAACACAGATTTACACTGCTCTGCTATAAGATT